TTTTTGAGAAAAAAAAAAAAAAAGAAAGAAAGAAAAAGAAGAGGAAAAAAAATGGGGAAAAATAAAGTGGTTTTGTTTGCAAATTTTTATATCTATACATCACTAGTAAGTTAGAGGGAAAAAGAAAAAGAAGGAAGATGATGCCAACTTGTTTCCGGAAAGAATTTAAGTGTTTATTTCAATAGGGTGAGACAAAGATTTGTGCATTATTTTATTTTTTACAAATTGATAAAAGTTTGAAATATTTTTGTGCCGATAGAACTGTTTTTTGTCTCTTGGTAATAGGGCTGAGCATGGGACTCGGAGAATTCCGAATCGTTCCGAAAATCGAACCGAAAAATATCCGTTGACCGTTTGACTTTTTCCGAACCGAAAAAATAATTGATACGGTTCAAGAGATTTCATAAATATCCGTACCGAGAACCAAACCAAACCGTATTGTACCGTACCGAACCGAAGAACCGAAATTAAGAACCGAATTATAAAAATAGATGCTTGTTGTTAATATATTTTATGTCAACTTTGATCCTATATAATTTGATAATTTTTAAAATGCAAATAAATATAGGAATAAATTAATTAAAAATAAATAAATTAAGTTTTACTTAAAGTTGTCGATGCTTAGCTTTAGTTTATCTTATAACTAATATGGTATGGAAGGTTAAATAATTATTACTTTAATATAAAACGGTATTATATTTTGTTTGAATTTTAAATTTTCAATATTAGTTGAATTTAGTCTTAAAAAAAAATTAGGGTTACTTCTAAAGTTTATTTAAAAATAAAATCTTTAGTATGATAAAATATTGATGAATGTTGGATTAAAAAAAACATATAAGAACTAAAATATAACTTGGTGGTCATTCAAAAAATTTTAAAAATGATAAGAAATCTCCGAATATCCGAACCGAACCAAACCGAACCAAACCAAACCGAAACGAACCGATAGTCCCGAAAACCGAACCGAACCGAACCGAAAAATAAAAATCTCCGAACCGGACCGAATCGATTTTTTGGTACGGTTCTGGAGATCGAATTTTAGTGATCTCCAAACTTCGGTACGGTTTTGGAGATTTATCAATCTCCGAACCGTACCGACCCATGCTCACCCCTACTTGGTATCTTGATGAAAAGGAAAACATGTGGGAACTTTGAAAACTTCATTGTGTTTGTGTACCTTACATAAATGTCCATTTTGAGACCGCAAATTTTGACTCCCAACTTGAACTCTATTTGTTCATTTGAATACAATGCTATTTGCACTGAGAAGTATCATGTCGATAATCGAGCTGGTCAGTCGTGACCATTTTTAAAATACACGCTATTTGCAGTCGAATTTGAACTCCAATATTCTAAAAGTGTTGCACTTTCGGGGTCGGGCCCTTTGAAGCTCAGCAGCTTTTAATGAGATCCAAGGGTTCGACTAGTTATCAATCTAGCTAGATGACTTGATGCTCGAGCATGATGGTTCGGTGCTCGACTGTAGTCTATCATCTATCACATCACTCACTATCTCATTTGGTTTATAACCAAGCGAAAAAGAATGATGTCGTTTTTTCAACTCTATCGTAATTCGTAAGAGTAGAAGACAATGCAATTTCATGGTTGAATAGAATCTAATTTATCAACCTTTCTTTGATATAGTGTGTGGAACTGGAAGTGTGCGGAAATGTATGGATTTACGTGTTTGGAGTGGACAAAGATTTATATGTATTAGTTTTCTTGTACTTATGTGCAAATTACTTTTTTTATCCATTGACTTGTTTGTTGGTATCTCTATATATATATTGAAAAAGGTTGATAGAAAAATTATTTGTGAAAAGTTTGACTAAAAAAATATAATGTTTGACTTGCTATTAGTGGAAATTTTCAAAAAATATATGTGAATTTTTAGTAATAAATTTGGAGATTCTTATGACAAAATTTTGAATCCTATTTTTTCGTATTTTTTTTTACCACAATCTGAATCCCATTTTTTTAGGTAACAAATTTGGAAATTCTTATGCAAAAAATGCGTCAATTATTTATGAAAATAATTTCAAATACAAATTAATTTAAAAATCGTGCAAATTGCATGTATATTTAGGAAACAAATAATTGTATAATTCTTAACATTCTTCCAATATTTTTGAATAATTTTATCTTTCAACAAATGTGTACAAATTGGATAAAACCACATGCAATTTTTAACTTAAAACAAAGTTGAGATTTGGACGGGATATACATTCGAAATCTTATCCACATTTGTTTATAACAAAATCGGTTCATCTTTGATTTTAAAGTATAACATTATCCAATTATTTAGAAAAAAATTCAATAATATCAAAATCCTGTGCAACTTTTACAAGACCGTGTGCAACTTTTCAAGAATGCACCAATTTTTTTTTATTCTTATATATGTTTTTGTCTTAACTACGTTTTATCGAGATTTTGGTAAGAAACAATTTCATAAATTTTAAGTTTTTAACAAATTATTTATATTTTTTTATTAGAATTAATTTCATTTCAATTTGTTTGGTAAAAAAAATTGGTGCAATGTTTGGACAATTTGGTTGCATTTTTAGGAAAAAATGATGATTTTTTTCACTTTGTTTCACTTTCAACCAAATATCTGGATCAATTTTGTTTGGTAAAAACAATCGGTGCATTGGTAGGAAAGTCGGTTTTATTTTTAAGAAAAGTTAATTATTCTTTTCAATTATTCATAATTACAACATTGAATTAGATTTTTTTTTGTAAAGAAAAAAGGCGTGAAAATATTAAAAGTTTCTACTTTCGATCTACTAGAATTTTGTTTAGTAAATAAAATTCCTTAATTTTTTTTAAAAAATATAATTTGTTAACTAATAACTAATAATATGCAATTTTAGATAAATTTTGAACATACATAAAGTAATTTACGAGCCAAAGAATCAAACCAAGAATGTTATAAGGAAATGTTCAATATTATATAAATTTTATTTTCATGATATTTTTAATGTCATTAGACAAATTAAATATAAAAATAATTTTTAAAAAATAAGTAGGTAATAAATGCTCCCATGCATCGCACGAGCACTATACTAGTCTTGATTAAAAGGAAAACATGTTGGAACTTTGAAAACTTTCCTCTGTTGTAAAATTCAATGCAGAACACGAGTAGATCAATCAAAGGGCTCTTTGTTTGGAATCATCAATTCCTAAGTTTGTTTTCTTTGAAAATAAAGAAAAAAAAAAAAAAAAACTTTTTATACAACTATACAAGTTAACTAGTTAAGCCTAACATCATATATCGAGCTATCAACCCGGTTAAAGCTGACCCGATCCTGGGCCCAGCCCATAAACAATAACCCCTGTTAAAACTGACCCGAGTCTGGGCCCAAGCCCATAAACAATAACATACGCCTTACCGAAAAAACGCAGTACCATTAACTAAAAGCGTCGTTTTGCTACAAGAAACAAAGCGCAGAACCAAAAGTCACCCAAAACCTCTGCAATTTCTCTTCCACTGAAGCCGAAAACCCTTCTCCCAAACAATAGCAGCTCTGCTGTTAACTCACAAGCAGAGAGATAGAGAGAGAACGAGAGAGAGAGAGAGAGAGAATCATGGTGAGTCAAAGACAAAGATCGGCCAGAAAGCGGTTCAGAGAAGAGCACCCGGATCTTTTCCCCAAGCCGGAGCCGCCGGCGCCGAAAGACCCGAACAAGAAGAAGAAGAACAAAAACAGCAAATTTAAGCGCAAGAAATCGGATCCCAACGACCCAAACAAGCCCAAGAAGCCGTCGTACAAAAAACACCCGCTTAGAGTTGCCGGAATGAAGCCCGGCGAGAGCTGCTACATATGCAAGGCCCCGGACCACATTGCCAAAAATTGCCCCAAGAAATCTGAGTGGGAAAGGAACAAGGTTCGATTTTTATTAGTTTTTTTTTTTTTTAAATAGTTGGTGTTTGTGATGTGGGTTGTGGGAATAATTGGGATTTGGGTTGCTACGATGATATAATCTCTGCAGTTTAGTTTGGTATGTTTTAATGCACCTTTCAGTCAGCTGTTCTGTTAGCTGTAATTATATGAAAATAAGGTTTTATTTATGCTGTGGGCTTGAGAACCCTTTGCACATTATGCTCTTTTTTTTTTGTTTTTTGTTTTTTTCGTGTTCTTGATTAAAGGAGTGTGTATATGAATGTTCAGTGAGCATTTTATATTGTGAAAGATAATCATGTAATCATTTAATGCGCCGAATGAAACTTCTATACCGCCAGTACTGATTTTTAGATAGTAAGAATGTGATTTGTTTTTAAGTCGAGTAATAATGGTGATGTTTTTGTTGGTATCATGTTTGTAGATCTGTTTGTTTTGTCGACAACGTGGCCACAGTCTCAAGAACTGCCCGAACAAAAACGATGAGCCGGTGGATAAGAAATTCTGTTACAATTGTGGAGAAATGGGACATTCTCTGGCTAGATGCCCTCAGCCTCTTCAGGATGGTAATTTATTGGGCTCGTTATTTCATTATATACATGCCTAATTTTTTTATTTTTTCTTTTTTGGTATATGACATAATTTTTACGTTTTGAGCTAAAAGTAATACGTTCTGAGTCCATTGATATGGCAGACTATCATTTTTGAGTCTTCGATTGTTCTAGACATTTTTGAGTCTTCGATTGTTGTATATGACATAATATGTTGATATGGCATGCTTTCATGTATTTTTATATGTAGTATAAATATACTCTTTTTGCTCGAGCAATTGCCTCAGGATTTGATTATCAGGACTACATTATATTAACTGTCAGATTCGGTTGATGCAGGAGGAACAAAATATGCCAATTGCTTCATATGTAATGAAAGTGGGCACTTGAGTAAAAATTGTCCCAAGAATACACATGGAATTTATCCAAAGGTAAATTGTCTTGAACTATCAGTCGATACATATTGCTTCTAGTATTATAATCCAATAAGTATCCTAGATTCGAAAATGTTGAAATAAAAAGAATGTTACAGTCGTGTTTTTTTTCCTTAATCAAGTATTATAACCCTGTTGTTTTACAGGGTGGGAGCTGTAAAATTTGTGGTGGTATAACACATCTTGCAAGAGATTGTCCTAATAAACAAAGCAGAACTTCTGAAGCTGCTATGATTCGCCAATCACGTAAGTCAAGTACATGCAGCGTCACGTTTTTTTTGTTAATTACCAAAAATACCCTTGATATTTAGTTTAATTACATTAAAAAAAATCTGCTACCCCTCGAAATTGGAAAAATGTTTTCGTTGAATAATGTCAATTGGTTGATAGCTTTTGCCTCAAGTGGGGAAGTTGTGGTTTGAAGAAAGTTGAATTTTCTGTAATTTGGTCAATAAATATGCTTTTCCATTCATCGTGTCATCACATAACTTTAAATCCATAATGACGATGAAAAATTGAAAATATTGGTAATTTCAAAATTCAGTATGCATTATAATTCTTCATTGGCGCAAATTAATGCATCGAATTTCCATTGTATCTGATAGTTGAAGCTTACGAAAGGCCTAATCGAGTTACAAAGCTCGTCAGTGGAGATGACCTTGAGGATGATTTTGTACCAGTTGCTCCCATAGAAGGAAAAGATAAAGATGTAAAGACCAAGAAAAAACAAGGACCTAAAGTTGTTAATTTTGTTGGTTGAGGATATTTCATACTTTTTTTATATGGGCAAGTTATGAGTTTTTTCGCCAAGATTTTAGTCATATGCACTATAATATGTATCTTTTTTCCCAACGTAGTATTTGTGACAACAGATAGTTTAGCATTCTACTGCCATTTTTATGAGATTTTGGCTCAATTGTTTTTAACTGGGTTGGATTGGATTGGAATTTTTATTCTTACATTTGATCTACAAGTTTTTCTCTGCCTTTATTATTTTTTTTCTATGGAATTTATGTTGTGCCATTAATTAATCTGAAAACATGAAGGATACCGGTAGCACCCATTTTGACTAGCATATATATTATTTTGATCAATAGTTGTTGTTCAATGGATTGTATTTATTAACTACTAGTAATCAACCTGTGCATTTGCACATAGAAGACCACTTTAAAAAGTTTATAATTTAATTTATGAAAAAAAAAATATGAATTAAGAAAATAATTCTCAAAATTGATTTTGATCAAGTAATTGCTATGGAAGAGTCATTACAATCATTTTCTTTATGCTAATACACTCAATCAGTTTCATGAGTGGGCGTAACTTAAAATTTGAGTACAATTTTGTAACTCCCTTGATTGGTTTATGCTCATAATTTATGACATTCAAACAAGTTATTTTGTAACTTAAAAATGAAATTGAATATTGAAAATTTTGGAGGGAGAATAAAATTTAATGCATGATAATATAATTTAATGCTCTATTGCTCCTCTTTATATATATATATATATATATATATATATATATATAGATTTATAAGAAAATATTTGGTAAATCACTAATTGATAATAACTGTTTAGTTGGAAAATTATTTAAACATACATTAACGTTTTTCACCTTTTTCATGTAAATTAATGAAAGAGCAAATGTTCGCCAATTATGAGTGGGTATGCAAATGTATAATCAAATATATCTCTTATATATTAATTCAAAACGTGTTGAGTTTAAAAGTGGCAGACTCACAAGCTTTGGAATCTTACATGTCACAATATCATGCTTTGTATTTAGGTTCGGATAAAAATTTTGGAAACAAAATTGACTTGGAAAGTGCCATAAATAATTTTTCCACCATACACTGTCTCTCATCAAACTCTCTTTCATTCCCAAATTTGTCTTCAATTTAAAGAACACACAAATCTTTATTTTCTTATTTCATTTTACTAAGGATTTATCTCATTCGTCATATTTTTTTATTTTTTCAAGTTGATAACTTTTTAGCCCATTTTAGCGTAATGGATAATGATGGACTAAAATTATATATTATAATTATATTGATAATATAATTAATAAAATCTTAACTATACACGTCTTTTATCTCAATTCTCATGAACTTTTAATCCTCATTTTATTTTTCCAAGTTGATAAATTTTAGTCCATTCATCATATTTTTCTATTTTTCAAGTTGATAAATTTTAAGTAGAACTAATAATGTTGTGTACTAAATTTTTTTTTAGAATTTGAAATAAAACACAAATGTATAGTAGTTTTTGTTTTATGAACCTTCCATTTATTTATTTTGCATATATTTATNTCGTATAGTACACGAGTGTCGTACAAAGTAGAGAATGTAATTCTCAAATTTCCAACTGAGTTTGCATGAGTAAAGAGACGAAAAAAAAATAAAAATAAGTGGATTAATATCCTTATTCTCCCTTATTTATCTGCCTACACAGATTTTAGCATCCTCATGGGCTCGGGGCCGGGGCGTTGGCGTGATTACCGATTTCAGTTTCAGATCCAACTTCCGCTGTTGGCCCAAGAGGCGCAAACTTGGGCCTATCGTCTGAACTTTGAAGCCCAATTGACTCGGCCAACTCACGGCGTTCTCCCATTTGACGCACTCCACAGAACTTCGGGAGGAAAACCCCTAGCCAAGCACCAATTTAAATGAAATAAGGAAAATTGAAAATACAATTATTTATTGAAAATATCATAACACTTTTTCAGTGATATTAATTATTGGAAATCACTAAATAACATTTTTGTACATTATTTTTTGTTTAATTTAATTTGAATTTTGTTTAATTTAATTTGAATTTTAGGATCTTGCTTTATAATAAGTTCCAAGTTTGATATGCCCAAAAAAAACAAAAAAATGGACAATGAAGCATGCCTAGTAACATTTATACCTTCTCCAGCCGCGAGGTTGAAGTAGAGATCGACAATGTTGGGGCAGTTATTATAGCACACTTCCGAGCAGAGGCTTTGAGCAAACCTTCCGTCGAGGAGTGAGTCGGAGGATATGCCAAGGGCCCGCCTGTCGAGCCCACACGCGCTTATGCAACTATCGGTTTCGACCCAATTGGTTATCTTGTCGGCCACGATCTCAGAGGTCCCACACGCGTACTCAATCGTGCCGCCCAACCGCAGGCGGTTCTCCAGCACGCACCGCCTACCGGAGGACGACACTGCGAATGCGCACGACTTCTCGTCGAGCGTATCGCAGTTGATGTCCATGCCTACATCAAGCCACGCAAACAAACACGTATAATTGCAATATATAATCCAGTTAAAATAAAATCGTACGATTCACAGACTCAGACAATCATACAAAAAAAAAAAAATGCATATATGAAACTACGCATATTTGTTGGAAGAGTATGACTACCTATTAATTAGGCAGATTAACAGATAAACTATCGATTTTCATGCATGATCGTTACAATTTATTTTCTTCATAAAAACAAATGAATTTTGTATATTATGCAAGTGTTATTACAAGTATAGATGGTAAGAGCATGATTGGATATAAATCCAACCCCAAAAGTGATTGATGACTTACCTAGAATGCCTTGGAGAGAGATGGCTAGAGAAAGAACCATGACCAAAAGTGTTGTTGGTGCCATTGCTTCTGGTGTGCCTAGGATTTGTTATTGAGATCTAAATTATGTTGACTAGTTTTGATTTTGGGGACCTCGAAAGAGTGAAGACTTGTTGTAAGGAGCTAATTGGTAAGGTAAGCTATTTATAGAAAATGGTGTGAGTATGAAAAATTAATAACCAATGATCTAATTGCATATTTGCATGTGTGAGAAAGAATGGGATTAATTTTCAAACTTATGAAAGATTCATAAACAAAATGATTTAATTGCATGTGTGAGAAAGCATGGGATGAAGTTTCAAACTTATGATCACGAATTGATACCAAGGAAATAATTTCACTTTTTTGTTGGATAAAACGTTTGAAAAATTTATCCCACTATAAAGTAACTTTTTTTAACAGTAAATTAAGATTACTTATAGCCAAACCTAGCGACTAAATAAATATATATTTTTCGAACAGATATCTATATTTTCAAATTAAAATATCATACTCATCAGAAACAAGATAAATAAAAGTATGACATTTTTGTTTTAAAATTACGACAAATCGACCAGTCTAACGATTAGGGCGTCTCACACAAGAACTTGTATTTTTTAATCTTCTTCCGTGTCCTTTTTCTTTTTTCCTTTTTTTATTACTCTCATGAGTCATGAATCACGTATATATATTTTCAAAAGAAAAATAAAATCACTGCTTGAAGTTCCAAAATGTTCTACAACTTCTAGTTATGTCCGGAAAGCTCATCAACTTTTAGTTAAAAATGAGTATCTACGAGAACTAAAGCGTAGACGTACATGCATTAATCCTTGATGAACTCATTAGATCTAACATGATTCCAATTCGAGACTAATATTTTTATTAGTATAGGTTAATCATTTATGTGAAGAAGTATAAATACGATATAATTGTTTGATTGGTTTGATAAATTTTAAAAGACGAAAAAAGGGTACTGCATGCAATTTTAATAACTATATAGATGGATATTATTCCCATTTAGAATCTATATATGGCTATCATTATATTGAGCAGGCCAACGTAGTAGGTGGTGAATAATGTATAATCATAATAATTTGTCCGCTATATAGAAGAGTCCACGTGTTATACTTCTTTAAATAAAAATAAATATTTATATTATAAAATGTCATAATTTTATTTCTCTTACTCATAATTAAGAGTGAGTTTGTTGTTAAATAAATCTAATGGTTAGACAGTTAATATATATGTTTTTAAATTAAATGTCATATTCTGTAATACACCAAAAATTAAAATATATAAAATGTCATAATTTTATTTATGTTGTCTTATTAAATATCACATTTAATTTAAGCCATTATATATTTTAAGTTTTGGTGTATTACAGAATATGACATTTAATTTAAAAACATATATATCTATTGAAAATTTATAACTGTGTAGCCATTAAATTTATTTAACAACAAACTCACTCTTAATTATGAGTAAGAGAGCTCAAATTTTCCGGTGAAATATAATCAAATAAGTCCTGCAATAAATTTAGATTTATGTAAATGCATGAGAATATGTATATATAAACACATTATTTATTAGAAGGTTTTACAGTGAGTCTATCGATCTGTTAATAAAAATGCATATTTATGTAACTAAATATCATAGTTTTATTTATATTATTTTTAGTCGACTATGTTTTATAATATAAATATATGTATATCTATTAAAGAATTGTGACTGAATAATCATTCATTTGTATGCATGTAGCACAAATAATAAATATAATATGTATATTTCCAATAAATTAAGTAGAAAGAAAGTTATAGGCATTAATATTCATATAAAATTATTGCTTATTTAAACATTGGTTGATGTACTTTAATAGATCAATCCATGTATATTTGGAAGAAAAATGAATGTATATATATATATGTTAAATGAATTATATCCATCACGTCATATGTTAGATGATTATAATTTAAGTTTGGAAACTCAACATAGTACTCATTGAATCCATTTCTATGCAAGATAGACACACAAATTACTAACTTTATAAAACTAAGCAAGTTATCTTAAAAGCTCCTATATATATTTTTTTTTTCTTAAACTCGCTTATTAGATTTAAAAAAAGAAAATCAAACCATTATTCCAAACAATTAATCAGATATTCAGACATGTTAAATCTCTAATTTATTTTAAAGCTCTTTAATTTTACGTGAACTCTATCAACAAAAACAAGGTAGGTTATGTTAATTTGGTAAACTTATCTGAAGCTGATATATTAGCTTATAGCTTTTAAGTGAATTTCGAACTTATAATTATTGATTTATGACTTATGAATGAAAAACTAGCTTATATTATATGTGTTTGGTAAAATTTTCGAATAAACTAGCTGAAATTAAAATTTAAACGACCTTATTTGAAAGCTACCCAAGGAAGCTATTGAGATAAGTTCGTTGACTGGTCGAAAAAAATGTGTATCTTATATATTTATTAGCGTATTTTTATATGTTTAATTTTGTCGCGCTTATATATTTTTTGGCTTATTAAATGGATTCTTATAATTTGATATCTTTATATTTTATTTTTTTAAAATATTGGAGTATTTTCGTGGAACGTGATATTAAACAAAATTTTATTCGACACAGTATGGAGGTACTCCATATCAGCCCAATTTTTGGCCCATTGAGCATCTCTATCAAGGAGGTTTAATGAGGTTTATAAACCTTACTTTTGTATAGGTTTTATTGTTAAAGTGGTGGAGTTTGAGGTATACAAATGTAAACCTCACAAAAGTCGGCCCACCACTGACAACTTCCTTGACCTTTTGTGACTTTTTAATTTTTTTTCTCCTCTTTATGAATTTACTTGACTTTTTGTGGCTTTTATTTTTTTCTCTTCTTTATGAATTTATGTTCTCCTCTTTGTTTAAATTTTTCGTTAGTATATTTTGTTTTAATTAACATTGATGTTTATTTTTATTTCTTGCTTTGCTTTGATTTTGTGCTTTGAAATAATAGTATTTTTTAAGTAAAATTCTGCATGGATATGTAATTAATACTCTATATTATAAATAATGCAATATAATTATATTATTTTTTTATATCTATTTACGATAAATATATGAAACATTTATATTGAATAAAAATAAAAATTAGAGTTATGATTTTAAAGTATTGAAAAATATAAGAGTAATAATAATTAAAAGTAAGTGAGAAACATGTGAAACCCTTAAAAATTTAAGGAGGTTTATAGGGTTTATTATCACTGGAAGTTTATGGATGTAGGAGTAAGAATGAGTTTTTGAATGACGTGACATGTTGAAAAATGTAAAAATAAGGTTTATGAGGTTTAATTTTAAGGGAAATGCTTACACTCACGGTGGATACATGCTAATATGTCCACCGACTTATGTGGGCCTAGAAAAAGACTTGGCCTAGGAATTTGGGTTCTCTTTGGTGGAAGAAAAAAAANCTACAACTATGGGGAATGAAAGATGTTGAGGATCTCAATTAATTGAGGGCACGTTCACGGTTAGCAAGAGACTCGTGAGAGAGAACGCAAGGGGCTGAAACTAGTCGGAGTGAATCATTTGTGATAGAGAACGCTAACCAGCAAAAAGGGAAAAAATAAGACTTGTGCAGGCAGTGAGAAAAAAAACAGAGAACGAGAGGATAAACAGAAAAGTCGACGGACGCTGGAAAGAGGCCGCACTCGTACACAAAAGGAATAATTTTATTTTTTTTTTCTTTTAAATTTATTATATTATAGTAGATTTTCTTTCTAATTACGCGAATGTCGAACCCTACATATTTTACTATGTTTAATTAATTACGGTGACTAATTATTTTGTTATTTTTATAAAATTGTTTGTGTTATTTTGTTTGATCAACCATTATGTGTTTGATTTTATTTAGATTGATAAGATCTAGAATCGAAATTGCAATCCGTAAATTATTGTTGAGTTTAATTCATTAGTAGCAAACGATAGCTGGAAACTGTCGGGAATATATAACACTTTTTTTTAAAAAAAAAAAATGAGAATGATATTTGATTAAAAAATTATCATATTTATAAGAAAATCTATGACAATACAACTTTTTAATATTAGACTTGTCTAACAATACCATCTCCCTTTTTCTTCTACTCTTTCTTTCATTTATGGTGGTGCATTATTTGTGATCATAATAAGACAATAAATCATGAACCAAAATCGTACATTATGAACTAGTTAATTAAGAAAGACATTAATTAATTAAGAAACAAAAACCACACATCATATATATGTTGTCCGTATATCCGTATATATTGAAGTAAACAAACCCCCATATGATCAAAGGAAAAAAGAAAAGAAAAGAAAAGAAAAGAAAAGAAAAAAACATGCATTCTACATAGGTAAATTGGATTTAACTTATCCTTATTCCACTCTCGTTTCTTGTGTATATGTCTTTGACTATGTCCCCAAAACTCATAACATATAGAGGGGTTTTAACTTTGAAGCCCTACATTTTGTGTAAGAAGCTTCGTAATTAGTAGGCCGGGCTCGGGGCCGGGACTGTGGACGACTCCAAGACATCGTTCAAGGCGACCTCGAAGGACTCGCTGCTCGGTGAATAAGCCTTCTCCATCATCCCACGTCGTGCACCCGAGTGATGCCTTTCACAGACCATCGGTAAGAACACTCCTGTCGATTATTTATTTATTTATTTATTTTCATGATAATTAGCTTGAAATCAACTCTCCCCCTAAGAAATGCANNCAAAAAAAGAGAAATGAATTAAATTAATCAATCAACTTTCGAGTCGGTATGTATTTGGCTCGTTGTTTCGATCTCTGTATATTGCAGTTATTGAGTGTCTTATTCATTATGTCGTGTTCAATAGCTCCCCTAACTACTACTATATTTAGCTTGTTGTTTCGATCTCTATATTGCAGTTATTTAGTTTCTTATTCATTTATGTCGTCTTCATCATCTGCCCTAACTACTACTACTTTAGCTTACTACTACTACTTTAGCTTGTTGTGTTGATCTCTGTATATTATATATTGCAGTTATTTAGATCCTTATTCATTATATGTCGTCTTCATCAGTTCTCCTAACTACTACTATATTTAGCTTCTTGTTTTGATCTCAGTATAATATTGCAGGTATTTAGTTTGTTATTCATTTATGTCGTCTTCATCAGCAAGACTACTACTACTACTACTACTACTACTACTACTACTACTACTACTACTACTACTACTACTACTACTACTACTACTACTACTACTACTACTACTACTACTACTACTACTACTACTACTACTACTACTACTATTGCTACTACTGCTAATAATAGTACTAATGTATACCTTCTCCCGCAGCAAGATTGAAGTAGAGATCGACGATGTTGTGGCACTTTTCGTAGCACGACGCGGAACAGAAGCTGTCGATGAAGCTGCGGTCGAGGAGCGAGTCGGATGAGATGCCGAGGGCCCGCTTGTCGACCCCACAAGCCGCGATGCACTCCTTGGACTCGATGTAGTTGGTGAACATGTTGGAAGCCTTGATCTCAGAAGTACGACACGTGTACTCGCCACCCAACGTCCCCATCCTGCGCGCAAAACTGCGGCTCTCGAGCACGCACCGATTTCCCTTGGACGAGACTGCGAATGCGCACGAGTCCTCGCTCAGATTCTCGCACTGGATCTCGCCTGCATTGTAAAATGTGCATTCATAGTGATAAGCTAGACATGTGTGTTTGTGTTTATGTGCAAAAATTCATAGAAATGTGAAAATAGGTATAACTTACATAAAGAGCCTTGGATGGAGAAGACTAAGGCAAGAGCAATGACCAAAAGTGTTGTTGGTGCCATTTTTTTTGTTATTTCTTTGTTTTTTGGCGTGTCTTTGGCTTTGGTGAGGTGAAGACTTGTGTAGTGAGGACCAAATGGTAGAAGCATGCTATTTATAGAGAAAATGATGAACCAATGTAAATATTATCTAATTGTGTGAAAGCTATATCATGCTACTTTCTAGTTTCTATAACGGGTTTGCTTTGAACTTTTGATTTAATTTGGACATTAAAAAGAAAATTTATTACCTTTGAAAGTTTTCATACGACCCGCATAACACCTTTTTTCATTTGGGGTCTCCTATAGA